AGATCACTGGATTTTTCATATTTCTGAAGTTGATCTGTCACGCTGTGACAGATTATTCTATAACTGAATTAGATCAATTATAGAATTATGAAAGAATCAGATGGTTTGTAACGTGTTTTGATTAGTATATAGGCCTATAACAGATAAGTAATATTCACATTAAAATATACTCAAAAAAATTCTTTTATTCTGAAATCTTTGTAAAATATATCAATATACATGTATGTACCAGTCTCAATTATCCACCAAAACAGACTCAATTATTAACCGACCGCTGCCCTATAGCTGGAATATTGATGGCGTTAAACAACAAACAACCCAAGCTTACAAATTTATGAATAATTCCTTTTATCACCTTTTCATGTAGTCACTATAGTAGTGCTTCAGATTCTTCTAGCTAACTCTGACACGTGAAAGTCCGGGTTAGTATGAATCTTCAGTAACCCATGCTTGTCGGAAAAGGCGACAAACGGGAACGGGTGGTCAGGCTCTCTCTGGCTTGGTTGACACATGTCATCAGTTCCCAATTGTGCAGATCGATGCTCATGCTGTTGATCACTGGATTGTCTGGTCCTGACTCGATTATTTACAGACCGCCACCATATAGCTGGAATATTACTGAGTGCAGCGTAAAACTAAACTCACTCGCTCATTCACTCTAGCTAACTACTTTCCGAGGTCACTTTCAACAATCCCTACTTAAAACATGAGTGAGTTAAGATATACAGTCATGCCAGCAGTATTTCAGCCATATCGTCACTTGAACAAGTTATGCAGTCATATTTCAAAAACTGCCATCAAGGAGAGCATAATAAATAGCAACATATTACAGACTGATTGAAAAACTAGTTTTATTACTATTTGACTATTTGGCGATACAATATGAAAAAGGGGCCATAGATCATCAGTCACAAAGAAAAGGTCACCATACTAGGAACCATGTGGACTTCTGGGGCCTTTGTTACTATGGTTCTCAAGCAGGGTTTACCCCTACTGAAACAAGAAATAATGCTAAAACAAGAAGCTACAATGCAGACTGACGACACAAGTTTATTGTGTTTGGTGTGTTTGGTTTGTTTGTTGTTAAATGCCGCACTCAGCCACATTCCAGCTATATGGCAATGGTCTCTAAATAGTTGACTCAGGACCAGATAATCTAGTGATCAACAGCATGAGCATCGATCTATGCAATTTGGATACGATGACATGCGTCAACAAAGTCAGCAAGTCTGACGACCCGATCACGTTAGTTACATGGGTCGCTGAAGACAAATTCCAAACCGGATCTTCATGGATCTTGGACACAAAACCTTAATCATATTTAATGAGGTTTATGCAAGGATCAAAGTATTACGCTAATGGTACAGGTGCAAGGCTTATCACTAAATAACCCTTCGTGCTTAATGTTAGCATGTGGCACACCCAAATTTCATAATCACCACCAACTTAATCTTTCCACAACACATAAACATAGATCACACCATGCTTAAGCAGTATGAGTTGGTAATCCATACGTGTTATGCTTAGATATGATTTTCAGAAGAAGATAAAGGACACCTGATTCTTTCATACTGCTAAAGTTAATCTGTGACAGATTATATAGTACAGTATATCGCCATGTTTTTCATACCTAGGATTAGTGGGTATGGAGGGTCCCCTTATGCATGTGGCGGAAGATCATACAGTATTTTCTAGCTGTATCACTAGCTGGTGATGTCAATCAGCATATATCCGATAGTCACTAGAGTTGTTTGACAGTTCAACTTGACATTTCATCCTAAATTAACTGTTCCAAGAACTCTTTGGTAGGGCTGCGCAATATAACCAGTTTACCGGTATTTACCGGTTCAGACATGAAAACGATACGTATTGTGATACACTGATCGAAAACCGGTATTTTGACATGCATTCGGAAAGCTTCGTACGGAAAACTTCGGATATGTCCGGAAGTTTTGGCGACCCCTAACAACGAACAATTTATTGTGGTGCCAAGGACAAAAGCTTCAGTATGGCAGCATTTGGGGTTGAAAAACTTCACGGTAACTGGAAGTATTGATAAGACTAACGCGGTATGTAAAATATGCAATGGTAAAGTGAAATGCTCAAGCGGGACGATTAAAAGTTTTTAATTAAGCTTAATCAAGCATAATAATTTTGTTCTGTTTTTTTGCTTTATAAATCAAGCATTACCTCGAGTATGAGCAGTTTTTTTGTTAAAAAAAATCTTCTTGCAATATATTGCAATACATATCGCAATATATGCTTTCGCATCGCAATATATCGCAATATGAATGCAATACCCACCCCTACTATTTGGGCACATAGACACTGTACACGAACTCCTGCATCATGAAAACTGTTGCAAGTCAAAAACCATCGTTACTATACGCAAGGTTTGTTTGTTTGTTTACTGTTTAACACTGCATCAGCAATATTTCAGCTGTATACGATGGTTGTAAATAATCGAGTCTGGACCATACAATCTGGTGATCAACATCATGAGCATTGATCAAGGCAATTAAGATATATAAGCAATGATCCGTGCAGTTAGTTTACAATGACACGCACGTAATCAGCCAAGTCAACAAGCCTGACATCTGATCACAATTTCCCAGTCAGCTGACAAGGTGAAAAAAAGCAAGTTTTCGCCAATGGAGATCAGGAAGTAAGCACGAGGGGATCATCTCAACTTTTCCGATACAATTTTGCATAGCAGTTAATTTTACTTACATAGTTCATTCAGTTCATTGTGAAAACAATGTATTTTACAATAACTGGGCTCTTTAAATTCTTCAAAATAGTTTATTCCAGTCCCTATAAATTACACTTTATGGACTGTAGTGAAATTTAACTTCTGTATTTTAATGTTGAGATGTCTGAAGTGTCAATTAAACAGAACATACATCATTATCAGCTGACATCATTAATCAAATATTTGACATTTATGTTTGAGGAAATGACAGACATTAAGTTCCTATAATGATGCATTCAGACAAAACCGCAGCATCAAACTCAGTCCTGTGTGTTCCGCGCAGCATCTCTTACTATGTCATTTATCAGAGACACAAAACTTTTTCCTTTGATGTGATCATTCCCATCCATAACTTCCTCCATTAAAAGACATGCACTCAGATAAGAGTTACTGATGTTGACAGCTGAACCTTGCACAGGGCTCCAGAGAATATTTGAAGTATCAGGTAATTATTTACAAGTACCAATCTTTCACATTGGGTACTGACACTTTTCTACAGGTATTCTATAGATGTTTTCTCCCTTAGGTCGTGTCCATCAGGTCTTATTAAACCCATGCATAGACACAAATGTTCAAATGCTGTTTCTGGGGACCTCGGAATTTGTATCTGTGCACAGTCCCAAATGTGCAACCCGTCGCATAAACTCACAACAGAGACATTTAATTATTAATATGAGAAGTAGCATGTTTTTATGCATTATTGACAGCAGTAGAGTCCATGTGTGAATGCATTAAATCAGTAATGAAAGATCTGTACAGAAACACAGGTATGTAGTATGAAAAGGTGACACATAGGGCAAGTCTGTATAGCATTGTTACACTTTGTTTTTTAAACAAATCTTAACATATTTGTACACAAAAAAAAATAAAATTATTGAGCAATGGACTACTAGGCCCCGTTTCACTAAGCTCTCGGAAACCTAAGATCTTGTAACTTTTCTCGTAACATTTGTACCTCCTATGTTGTAACACTGACTTACGACAGTCGTAGTGCTATGAGAGCTTTGTGAAATGGACCTAGGTGATTCATTTGGCATATTTTACATGTTTGTACAAATCATTTTACATGTTTGTCAGCATCAGTAACAATTTAAGAAAGCTGTTTTAGAGCTGATGCTAACAGCATTGTTATATGATATAATATCAGCTCAGTGATTGAGAAAAGCTGCTGTAAGTCTTAGACTCTAGTTTTTGCAACTCCACACTTAGTATGTGTGACTGCAACCTGTAAACAATCAAGCCTGGACCAGACAATTCATTCAGTATCATAGGCAAAGACCTACACAGTCTCGGTACAATGACACATACCCAACCAAGGTGTCTTTTCAGAAAAGAATAGGTTGTTGGGGGTATAATCTAACATGTAGTTCCCACAACATACCACTTTTGTATATTTATTTGCTAATGAACAAAGGATCTTTACTTGAATCTGCCATCTGAACCAATGACTGGCAGATGCTGGCACTGCTAAGGGACATCACTCTGTACAGCAAGGATATTTAGACCACTTTCATAAGCCACCCTAATGTATTTCAAACAGCCATGACAATACCTTTAACTTACTGTGGACGGAATATTATTCATATTGGGTTAATGCCACCCAACACAGAAAACTTTAAACAAATTCTGCAGGATGTTTTACTACTGTATGACATGTATGCAAATGTATAACTGTGGATTCAGGGGTGGCGGCGCGCAGGCCAGTGGTTAAAGTGTTTGCTCCTCATGCTGAACACCTGGGTTTTTGTTTCCCCACATGGGTACAATGTGTGAAGCCCATTTCTGGTGTTCCCCCGTGATATTGCTGGAATATTACTAAAAGCCGTGTTAAAACATACTCACTCACTTACAGTGGATTCACAAGCAGAAAAAGAAAACAAATGAATCTTATTTGATTGATCATGTAATGCACTCCTTGGACATAATTTGTTTATACAGGCATTGCTATGTACATATTACCACAACTATTATATACCGACTTAAAAGCAGATCGGTTTTGATTCTTGTAAATGTCTAAAACCTAAATTGTACTGTAACCATATAAAGTTTAATACAAACGCACACACGCCCGCAAAATACGTGCTCACAAAATACATTCCCCAATAATATATAACATTTCAATATATTTGACGAGCAGATTACAAACAACGCCTTGAAAGTTTATATCGTTAACGCTGACTCCATATGATTAACATGGTTACAATGTGCCCTTCCCGACGCGTTATAACGAGGTACGCATGCAACCTACCATTTCTCTCCTTAGAGTTGTGAGTGAAGCGTTGAGTCTTGAAAATGATGATATTGGATGAGGGGTAGAGATCGGAGACTCCACCTCACCGTTCACAACGTTTGTAGTGGGTGGGGGCCACTTTCACCCTGGTCCGCCTCACAAAGAGACTCTTGAGCCAGTTCCTCTAACAGGTTTGCTTTTAAAGTGTGCATCTTTTCCGTCTCTCGCCACTGGGAACTGTCCGACCCTAACAAGCCGCTAAAACACCGGGGTAGGGGTGGTAAACCGGGTATTTGCGACATGGCCGACGTGGTGTCGTTGTCTTCTGACATCTATGTGATTCGGTCAGCCCAGTCGGCATTCATGACACAGCTGGCATCGAACGTTCGTCCAAACTCAAAGTTTCTCAAGTTTTCACTCCACCGTTCTTCTCTCTTACTGCGCCCTCTTTCCGAAGGGAGATAACTGTTGCGGGCAACATTTCGTAAACGAACAGGTGCGCGAAATCACTGTTGTTGGGCTGTTGTATAAGGTGGACAAAGCTCGAGCCGATTGAAAGTCACAACAAACTATTTTCCAGTGTTCAAAATTCTCACTGCTGAATCCTACATCAATCTAACAGTTGATGATGATCCCAATTATATTGTATCTCAATTTTACACAACAAGCATATTTTACTGACAAGATCTACTTATAGAAACTACTTATAGTAACTAAGCTCTTTAGTTTATACTCTCTCTTAATTGGCGCTTCAGGAAACTTACAGAGGTCTAGAATTCGTGTTTATTGGTTACAAATAGTAATTAACGTACTACAATCAATATACTAATCATCTTTCTTCACAATTTCGCTCGAGGTACATTATATAATATTCCCTTTAGATGTACGAAAGATACTAGATAACAATGGTTCCAAATACAGACTTTTACACCATATCTTGCCAACAAACATTTTTTTAGAAAAGATAGGAAATAAAGACACTAGTAATTGCAGTTTTTGCTCCGAAGATATAGAAACAACTATCCACTTATTCTGGTCTTGCAGCAAGGTGAACCATATATGGAAAAAACTTGAGAACTGGCTACATGCTAAAGCACAAATAAAACTCAAAATTGAAAGGAAACATGTAATGCTTGGTTACCCAAATAAAAACAATGATCCAATAAATATCATCTTAATTCTCTTCAAGGAACTAATTTTTCGAAATAAGTTTAACAACATTATGCCATCTTTTCAAGTTTTTCAACATAAACTGTTTGAATATTATATGTTAACAAAATGTTTGTCAATAATTAGTTGTAATATCAATGCTTTCTACACGTTCTGGTCGTCATGCCATGATTTATTCTGCTAAATTTATTTGATTGTTCATCATGTATACTGGAATATCACTGTTATTTGTTTGTATAAAATGTTGAAAAATGCAACAAAATAAAAAACTATAATTTTTTAATATAATATACAGTTTGAGGTTATCGTATACACCAGCCCGAAATATAGGGGAAAAAACTTAACCACATGACACCTCACCCACGTGTACCACACACCTTCATGATGCATGACATCTCAAGTTGATTGAGGTTTTCTACTATGCAGGTTCCCATCTTAAATTAACTAGTTGTTCGCATGAAGGAACCCCAGTGGTTTGACAGTGAGTGCCAAGAATCCAAAAGGCAGAAATACTATCAATTAAATCAGTTTAGACGTGCTAGGTCTGGTGTCTGTCTACAAAACTACCTTGCCGCCCAAAAATCCTTCCGTACATTATGTCGTGACAAGGAGTTGCAACACAAACGGGTTGTTATTGGCGATATTCAAGGTGCTCTAGAAACGAAGGATAATAAGGTCTTTGGGGGGTAAAGTACAGTCTCTTTTACGTTCAACAGCCTCTCAAGTGAATATATCAGTTGACACATGGTTCACGTATTTTATGAATTTATTAAATCCTGTCACGCTGCCAACAACAGCTTTTGATAAGTGTGTTGAAGGATGTGTAAAATCCCATGATGTTGAGCAATGTAGTGATTGTAGGGAACCAGATTTTCTCTCAGATCCTATAAATCAGGATGAAATTATGAAGGCAATAGATTCTCTGAAGTGTGGAAAGGCTCCTGGCATGGATGGTAGCCCTCCAGAGTTTTATAAGTTTCTTCCAATGATTGTTCTATACTTAGAAATGTTATTTAATGCTGTGCTGGATAGTGGGATTTTCCCGGATAGTTGGAATGTTGGAGTCATAGTGCCTTTGTATAAGAAGGGTGACAGGCAAAACCTAAACAACTACAGGGGAATTTCTTTATTATGTGTAATGGGTAAAATATTCACTAGTATTCTAGATTCACGTATTCGAGTTTGGCTGGACTTAAACAAAACTTTACACGAGTCACAGGCAGGTTTTAGAAATGGCTACTCAACATTTGATAATATTTTCATTCTACAGTCGCTTGTCCAAAAGTACCTAAGGAAACCTGGTCATAGGTTTTATGCTTCATTTATTGATTTTCGGTAAGATCTTTCATAGTAAGATCTTTAGGCTCTTAAGAGACATGTATAATAAGGTCAAAGCGTGCGTCCGAGTTGGCAGTAATAGGTCGGATATATTCACAATTTCACATGGCGTCAGACAAGGGTGTATGTTGAGTCCGGTATTGTTTATATATTTTATAAATGAGTTAGTAGAGGAAATGCAAAATAGTGGTATAAGGGGTATATTTGTCAAATCGGAACTGGACGACATTTAACTGCTGCTCTTTGCCGATGATGTCACCTTGGTAGATGATTCTGTCGTAGGGCCGCAGCGAAAATTAGATTTCCTACATAAATTTTGTTTGAAATGGGGTTCTGGAGGTGAATTTAGATAAGTCTCAAATTATTGTCTTTAGAAATGGTGGCTATCTTAGAAGTACAGAGAAATAGTTTTATGATGGTCAGGAAATGAAAGTTGTTAGCTATTATAAGTATTTGGGTGTCATATTTTCCTCAAGGCTAGTATGGTCTAAAGCTTGTGAAACTCTGTCGTTAACAGCAATTAAAGCGAGCTTTTCTGTCAAACAAATGTTGATAAAGTTTGACGCACCTCATGAAATGGCTAAGAACATATTTGACACGAAAATAGCACCTATTTTGTTTTATGGCGCTGAAATTTGGGGATATACATATAGAGCAGATATTGAAAAGCTACAGGGCTCGTTCTTCAAGAAGTATTTAGGTTTAGGAAAATTTGTGTCTACAAAAGCTGTGTTAGGGGAGTTGGGCAGTTATCAAATGGCTGTTAATTATTTTAGTCGTTGTAGCAGGTACTGGTGTAGACTCGTGAGAATGAGTAGGCCATAGGTATCCTCGAGCTTGTTATGAAAAGCTTAAAGTCTTTGACGAAAATGGAAATGTTTTCTTAAAGCTTATTCATCGTACAAGTCAGTTTTGGAAACAGAAGTGTATATAACTGCGTTGTACACTAATAGAGACTTGAGGCGAATTTTATGTAAATTTCGTTGCTTATCGCACAAATTGGGTGTCCAACAGTTGCGTTTCAATAAAGACAATGTCGATAATACTATTGCAGTATGTATCAAGTGTCATTTAGATGTCGTAGAAGACGAATACCACTTATTATTAGTAAGTCCTTATTACCCTACAAGTCGGATGAGTTTATACCTGGATATTATCATATATATCCATCTGTCTTTAAGTTTAAGCAGTTTTTATGCACCCAAAATGTGAATGTTATTAAAAGTCTAGCAATCTATCTGAAGAGAAATCAACCTGTTTGACTGCTATATATTGATGTACTATATTTATGTATATGTATTGAATGCGCACAAACAAAAACTTATGTATTTTTTGTACTCTGTGCCATGAGGCCATTATGCGAATACACTGATGCATGACACCTCACCCACGTGTACCGCACACGTTCATGATGCATGACACCTCACCCACGTGTACCACACACCCTCCTGATGCATGATATCTCACTCACGTGTACCGCATGCCTTCATGATGCATGCCACCTCATCCCCGTGTACCATGCACACACTTTCATGATGCATGACACCTCACCCACGTGTACCATACACTTTAATGATGCATGACATCTCAACTACGTGTACCTCCCACCTTCATGATGCATGACACCTCACACACGTGTACCGCCATCTTCATGATGCACAACACCTCACCCACGTGTACCTCACACCTTAATGGGGCACAATTACCTCACCCACGTGTACTACACACCTTCATGATGAATGACACCTCACCCACATGTGCCTCACACCTTAATGGGGCACGACTACCTCACCCACGTATACTGCACACCTTCATGATGCATGACACCTCACCCACGTGTACTAAACATCTTCATGATGCAGGACACCTCACCAACGTGGACCACACACCTTCATGGTGCATGCCACCTCACCCACGTATACTGCACACCTTCATGATGCATGACACCTCACCCACGTGTACCACAAACCTTAATGGGGTACGGCAACTCATCCCTGTGTACCACACACCCTCCTGATGCATGATATCTCACTCACGTGTACCGCATGCCTTCATGATGCACGACACATCATACACATGTACCGCACACCTTTATGATGCATGACACCTCATCACTGTGTACCATGCACACACTTTCATGATGCATGACACATCACCCACGTGTACTGCACACGTTCATACTGCATGACACCCCATCCACGTGAACCGCACACGTTCATGATGCATGACACCTCACCCACGTGTACCGCACACGTTCATGATGCATGACACCTCACCACATGTACCGGATGCCTTCATGATGCATGACACCTCACCAATGTATACTACACCCCTTCATGATGCATGACACCTCACCCACGTGTACCACACACCCTTATGATGCATGACACCTCACCCACGTGTACCGCATGCCTTCATGATGCATGACACCTGACCCACGTGGACCACACACCCTGCTGATGAATGACACCTCACCCACGTGTACCGCATGCTTTCACGATGCATGACACCTCACCCACATGTACAGCACACGTTCATGATTCACGACACCTCACCCACGTGTACCACACACCTTCATGATGCATGACACCTCACCCACGTGTACCCTCACCCTCATGATGCATGACAACTCACCCACGTGTACCGCATGCCTTCATGATGCATGGCACCTCACCCATGTATACTAAGCTCCTTCATGATGCATGACACCTTATCCCTGTGTACCATGCACACACTTTCATGATGCACGACACCTCACCCACATGTACCCCACACATTCATGATGCATGACACCTCACCCACATGTACCACACACCCTCATGATGCATGACACCTCACCCACATGTACCCCACACCCTCATGATGCACGACACCTCACCCATGTATACTACACTCCTTCATGATGCATGACACCTTATCCCTGTGTACCATG